GTGCAAAGTTCTTGCCGACTCCGGTGCCAATTGCGGCCGGGTTGCCGACGGCTTCATTTCTCTCGAAGCTGTCCGCAGGATGGCTCTTTCTGTCCGTCCTTGCACTATCTCTACTGTTCGCGTCGCGAATGGAACTCACGAGCTTATCAATGGCTCGATTACCGCTAAGCTCCGTATAGGCTCCTTTCATGAAACAGTCACACTACTTGTTTTAAAGCAAGGTGTTCCAGGTGTTGAAATTATTCTCGCTGATGACTGGTTGGAGCGCAAGAAAGCGAAAATGTGTTGGGAATCACACACGCTTACAGTACGGAAAGCTACCGGCGATACCGTTGTCCTGAGGCCTTCCTTTTGGTCTTCAGCAGACGACGACGATCACTTAGATGGTATTGCCATCATGAATTACGTTACCGCCACTCTCTATGCTGCGAGTACGGTGGAAACGATGTCAGCTAAAGCAGCTGCACGGAGGATTGCCAAAGGCGCACGAAGCTATTTAATGCTTGTGCAATCTGAGCTCATTTCTGAATCCTCGGCGTCTGCGGAGACACTTCCTCCCGACACCGACATAATCCCCGAAGCAACATTGCAAGGGTTGCTTGACGAATACAAGGACGTATTCGAAGAGCTCAAAGGCCTTCCTCCAGATCGCGAAGTAGGTCATACGATTCCACTAGTGGAAGGGGCTGTACCGCCCGCTAAACGATCGTACCGGTTGACTCAATTAGAGCGCCAAGAGGTCCGCAAACAGGTCACCGAATTGTTGAGTAAGGGCTACATAGAACCCTCTACTTCTCCTTACGGTGCACCCGTTATCTTTGTGGAAAAAGCTAACGGTCAGGGCCTTCGCATGGTCTTGGATTACCGTGCGTTAAACAAAATCACGATCAAGCGGCGGTATCCTATGCCAAACATTACTGACCTCTTCGATCAACTCCAAGGGGCTAAGATATTAAGTTCCCTGGACTTACAGCAGGGCTACAACCAAATTCGCATTACACCAGAGGATGTTGCGAAAACGGCCTTTATCGCTCCGGGAATGGGCCAATACCAGTTCAAAGTGCTGTGCTTTGGACTCACAAACGCCCCTGCTACGTTCCAAGCGGTGATGAATCGGATCTTCGCCGAACACATTGGCAAATTTGTGCTGGTGTACTTGGACGACATTCTGGTCTTCAGTAAGACCAAGGCCGAGCA